TCATTAGTAAGTCAGTCAAAGAACTCCGCAAGACGAAGGAGGAGAGGGAACATTTCTCAACACATAAAAAGAATGGGTTTTTAATGCCATTCAGCCATTGAATGTATGTGAAGGCCCATTACTTCCATGTCTTGGAATGCTCAAATAGAAAGATTTCCTCTTTTAGAAGAATTGTGTATTATGACATAGTCATTTAGTGTAATCTACTCTTCTTCTCGAAGGTCAAACGTGGTACAGAGTAGACTATATAGACAAGCTAGGCGTTAAAATGTATTTATAGGCAGAACTTTTTTTGTTTTGTTTTGGATGTTGTGTGAAAGGTTCAGATCCCCTGTCAGGTTTATATTGCTATTCTAAAGGTTGAGGGTGAGGAGCACCAGAAGGAAATGTTTCAACAGCTTGCTATTGTTGTAGTAGTCCATTATTTGAAAACATGTATACATGAAAGAGCCAACACGTTTCTTAGGTTCAACCGAATGGGTTGTAACTGTTGATTTGTATATGTTACAGGTGGTCAAAAGAGGTCCCCTTTAAGAGGTTTAGTTGTCCTTCCAACAGGAGCCTGCAATGAAGATGGAGATAACTAATGGATGTTGACAGTGTGGAGTGAAAGGAACAGTCTGTGTCTGCTTCGTGAGACAGAGGGTGGAGCTGTGTTTGACCCTTAGTGTTATTAATTGTGGACTGTACTATGATGGACAGTGCCTTCAGCTACATAGGTCAGCCAGCATGTGATTTAAAGTGACATTAAACCCTCAGATTTTTTAACATAAAACAATACTGTAATGTGTGCCTCAGTGTAATCCATGGTTGTTTCCCTTCTCTTTGCTGCTCTTCCTTTTAAATCTGTATCTCTTCTCATGCTGGACAGAACTTCTGTTTTGCAGCAGACTGCCTTGTCTCTGGAATGGCTACATGGTGTCTGTGTATAGGTTTGCAACCTGAGACAGCACTACAGGAAGAGGCACTCAGCTGCAAAGGGAAGTTCTCCCCCAGCATGAGAAGAGATTCGGATTTAAAAGGAAGAGCAGCTAAGAGAACGGAAACTACCATGGATTACAGTAAGGCGCACATTACAGTATTGGTTTCTGTTAAAAAATCTGAGGGTTTAATGTCACTTTAAAGTTTAATTACTGCTTATAAAGCATATGTAAGTATTTGAATGTTCATAGCCTGGCCACAGTTTTTTTTTCTATAAGCTTCTCTGAGGTCCTCTACTTTATTCAAGTTGCTGGGCTCAGCTTATTTTATATTCTTCTTAGTTGTCGCTGAGATGATGTAGTTAGGTTGATGTAGTTGAGAATAATTCTCATTTAGATAAAATCGCTACATTACAGAAGGGAGTCTTTAACCTTGGGTCTCTTCTTGTGGTTAATTTACCCAGTACAGGATTATTACCTTTTCTTTATATTATTCCTCCTCCAACAGCTGTCTCCACATGCCATGAAGGACAACAAGGATACCCCAATACAACAAGATTAAGAGCAGCAGTTCATATGCTAAAACATTCAACATTTGTAGCAGATTATATTTCTGGTGCAACATAATAAAATAAAATAACCACGGAGAACTCTGCAAACATGGAAAACCTGTCTGTAGCGACCAATACGTTTTTGTCTTTTATTTCCTAGGATCATAAAACAAAAAATGTGATTGGTGCAAGTTCTTCTTATAATTATTCATAGATTTTATAAATAACTTCTATATAAAGAACTTAAAGTGACATTAAACTCCGGAGTTAAATCTTAAAAATACATTCAAGTATCTTAACTATTACCAGCAATGTATCATATTTGTGTATCACTCGGCTGTAGATCCTTCAATCATCTCTGAATTGGTGCTGACACTGTCCTTCCTCCTGGAGGGGGGATATTTTGTTCCCCATGGTCCCTGTGTGTGTTGTAAAGTAGTCACCGCTCCAAGCTCGCTCCCGAGATGGACTACAATCTCATGTTTAGTTTACTGATTTGTATTGAGATTGTAGTCCATCCCGGGGGCGGAGCTTGGAGCGGTGACTACTTTACAATACACACAGGGACCATGGGGAACAGAAGTAGCCCCCCTCCAGAAGAAAGGACAGTGTCAGCACCAATTCAGAGATGATTGGAGGATTTACAGCCGAGTGATACACAAATAAGATACATTGTTGTTAATCGAAGGGATGCACCGATACCGTTTTTTCGGTATCGAGTACGAATAGCGCTATTTTTTTTTCTGTACTTGCCGATGCCGAGTACTGATACTAGTGCCGCGTGCCCCAATCACAGGGCATTGGGGGGGAGGGGGATAGATCATGACCCTTCGCCTGGCTTCCTGATTGCCTGAGAAGCCAGTCTATCGGAGGAAAACCGTCAGGAAGCCAGGAGGTGGGTCCTTATGTGCCACCCGGCTTCCTGATTGGTTAGGAAGCCAGGCTGCCTAGCAACAAGTGGAGCCGGCTTCCTAGCCAATCAGGAAGCCAGGAGCTGGGTCATAACCCACCACCAGGCTTCCTGATTGGAAAGGAAGCCGGCTCTGTAAGTACTTGCCCAAATACTCTGTATCGGCACCAATACTGATACTAGTGCATCCCTAGGTAATAGTTAATGTACTTGAATGCGGTTTTATGATATAACTCCTGAGTTTAGTGTGACTTTAATGTAAACATTCAATAGGTTGTACGCTTTAAAAGAAGTCCTTAAGAACAAAGATATGGGAGATGCCATTGATCTTTGATAACTTGTCTTCAGCTCCAAGGCTGACATCATCATCTTTCTATTACTACTAGGCAAGTCTATGGGATCAAGGACACCAAAGCAAACATGACGCGGGGAGCAGAATTGTGCAGCAGCGGTGACAACTTTCAACTAGCGATCAGTGGTCCGAGGGTAAGTATACACTACAGATTTACACTTACCTCATGCAGTGCTTGTAATGACCCTTCTCAGAGTTCTTCTTTAACCTGTTGAAGATCGAGGCATCTTAAATTAGAATCGCTCCAGCTAGCAGGAGAAGAATATTTCATGTGATCTCTGCACTCTGCGGATTGTTAATAAATATTATTTTGATCTAAGATAAAATGCTTCCAGACAAGATGTTCTTTTGGCAAAGTGACAACGCTGATTATGAATGCTGTTAAGCACTCAAAATATTAACTGAATATTCAGTTAACAGTTATTTAGAAATTTTTCCATGCTAAGTGATGTGTACATTTGACACTTCCAGGTATTTATTACCTCTCACAGATATCACAGCACTCCCCCAGACAATGCCTTCATCCGCTTTTATCTCCCGAGATGGAGCCATCTTCGGTTAGGCAACACCCAGGGCCACCATTGACTGAGATTTTGGCTTAGAGATGACACACTCAATTAAAATCTGTTGCCTGTGCAGCTCTTATCTGTGTTTATGAATGTCTGGCCAAGATCAGTCCCTACTGCAGCCTCTCACCTTGTGACTGGATACCAAGTTTACTGCAGCCGCTCACCTTGTGACTGGATACCAAGTTACTATGTAGCAGTCTGATCCTGACTGCAGCAGACTGATCACTGGGGTAGAGGAGGGGGGACTGAGGAAATACTTCCTCCTACCTGCAGCAGACTGATCACTGGGGAAGGGGAGACTGAGGAAATGCTTCCTTCTGTCTGCAGCAGTCTGATTACATCATCTCTGCCTAGGAAAAGTCACTTGATTGGAGCTCAAGGGAAATATATTTTGATAAAAGGTCAAAGGAAAGCTTTATATATTATAACACTACACTCTTTCTTGGTGGGGTACCATCAGGGGCATCCCTAGCTTTGAAAGGGTGGGGTGGGTGGTGTTTTCCGCTGAGGTCCTGGTGACATCACTGGTTGCCAGGAGCTCAGCGGGATGCTGGCAAGAGCTTCCCAGGTTGCTAAGAGCTGGGTGGGGAGATGTGTATGGCCCTTACACATATCCCACCCAGTTCTTAGCAAATTAGGAAGCTCTGGCTTGAAAGGGGGCAGCAGGCACCCTGCAAACATTGTGCTGCATAGCGACCATGCTGCTCTGCCTGCCACCCCCCCACGGAATGCCAACTGAAGCAACAGCCTCAGGCCGGGATGGACTACAATCTCAATACAAATGAATATACAAAACATGAGATTGTAGTCCATCACTGGAGCGAGCTTGGAGCGGTGACTACTCTACAACATACGAAGTGACCATGGAGAACCAAAGTAGCCCCCCTCCAGAAGGAAGGACAGTGTCAGCACCAATTCAGAGATGATTGGAGGATCTACAGCGAGTGGTACACATATAAGATACATTGTTGTTAATAGTTAAGATACTTGAATGCATTTTTAAGATTTAACTCCTGAGTTTAGTGTCACTTTAAATAAAGCATTTGTTTTTCTTTCCAATGTATAATTGTAACAAGCGTCTACCTATGTCACCTCCGTTGGGTCTACTCCTCCAATATTATAGAAAAGCATTATTTCGCTCTGCGAACCAACATACCTATAGGAGATGATGCTTCAGCATTTCCCGATAAATGAATACTTGCAAAATAATTGAACTGTTGTGTAAACATGAGCCGTCCATTGGCTGAAGATGTCTTATCGCGGCTGTGTACAAAGCAGAACAGAGGTAGACAGCATGAAATGAAGGTCGCCCTGCGATGTGGAACTGGAGGCTTAAGATAAAGGCTCAGGAAGGAGAGTGCGCGCTGGGGCCAGTCTGTCATGAACCGCTGTGTTTTAGGCGATAGCATTTGTGCCGTGCATAACATTCCTTCCCTACATTAGAAAAAAACAGGATGAGCTCATTAAGGAACCAGGCAAGACTTTGCGCTGATAATATTATACCTTTAGGAATTTTCCTATACAGCAACATTTACATTCGGGGGTTGAGAAGAAAAAAGATTGGGAAACACGACTCGTTTACCGAATCACAAAGGTGCAGATTGGAGCCATCCAAGACAAATCCCAGCGGGGCTTCTCCTCACAAGGATTAGAAAGCGAGCCGCTAGTAATGAAGCAAAGAGTGGCAAATCTGCTAAGCCGGCGGTTCGGCAGAATGGACGATGATGATTTTCTTGCTCGGAAGATATTTACAATTCAAATGGTCCAAAATTGGTTCAATAGTTTGCTCAAAGAGCTTGCTCCCCGTCCAGGTGTGTGGGCACTGTGCCCTTATATTGGGGGCTAATAGAGTTGCAGAAGGGTCTTGATGTGTCAGTTTGACTCTATAAGTTACAATGCCCTATCATTTTCCCAATGCCCATTCATACCACATCCAGATCATCTGCAGACCAGATTGTTTCCGGACCCAAAATGCATCCTATTGTATCCCTATGCTATTTCTGGCCTCTGTTCACACCAGCGCAGTCCGTTCCAGAACCAGACCAGAAAAATACTGCACGTCTCATTTTGTCTGGTCTGCAATGCACTGGAACTGCTGGCAGGTTCACACCATTTTCCGGACCAGATCTGGTCCGGAAAATGGTGTGAACCTGCCCAGCATGTTGAAGGTGATTAAACTGAACTAAAAACAACCACCTCAATACACAAAGGGGAGCTGTTTTACCTGCCAAATCTTTTGCATTTCTCTACATTATGAGATTTGCGCAGCTCTGACACACAGCACAGCCCTGTCTGGCTGGGAAGGAGACCTGATTTTCCTCTGCTGCAGTTGAGTTCTTGTCCCTTCCCCAGCCTGTTAATGGACAGCAAAAGAAGCAGCATCGGATGGATGAGCTCATTTGTCTATCACTCTGCTTTTTACTCCTATCAGCAAGCTCCTTCCATTGCAACATATCTGAGTGGCTCATTGCGCTGCTTCTCCCTCTGCTTGGCTGAACTCTGCTGTACAGGGACTGCAACAAGCTGATAATAGATAAATGTGCAGGTTCTCATACACCAAAATATCCAAGCAAATCTAAAGTAGGTATAGAGGCACCAGGGACTTGCAGAGGAGATAAGTCAAAGCATCAGTGTTTTATTTTCAACGTTTCTAGGCTATCTTTGTCAAGGCTCTTCTGTCCCTTTGCCCCAGACAGCATCTCTTTGGGTCATGTGGGCATGAGTGACATGGCCGCTCTGCTACACAATGTTTGCAATGTGCCTGTGCCCCCTTTATGGCCAAAGCATCCCAGGTTGCTAAGAGCCAGGTGGGGAGATGTGTAAGGGCCATACACATCTCCCTGCCCAGCTCTTAGCAACCTGGGATGCTCTGACTGGCGTCCAGCCAAGCTCTTGGCAACCAATTATGTCGTTGGTTGCCAGGAGCTGGGCAGGATGCCGGCCAGAGCGTCCCAGGTTGCTAAGCGCTGGGCAGGAAGATGCAGAGCACTGTCTCCTCTACCCACCTCCTGCTGCTCTGATTGTGTGCACTACCAGCACCCTCCTTCACTGATTGTGTGCACCACCCAGGGCCGGCCTTAGGCCTTTAGGCGCCCTGTGCGAGAAAGCTTTACAG